GGGTGCTGTTTTGTTTTTGTTTTAAAGAGTTTTAAATGTTTAAATTTTAATAATGTAATGTTTTTAATTGTTTGAATTGTTTAATTTGTTTTTTAAACTTTGTATTTTTAATGTTTTATACTGTTTTAACTTAGAATGTTTTAAATTTGTTAGCCGCCTTGAGTCCCTGTACTGGGAGAAAGGTGGGATATAAGTGAACAGAATAATAATAAAATAATAATAATGTGGAGACAAAAATGTATTTTGGTTCATTTTCTTGATAATACATTTTCAAAGTGTCCTCATAAATGTGAAGGAGATAATTTTTAATATTCAGTTTTGGGAAGAAATAAAACTGACAGATTTGTCAAACCAGTTAGAGGACTTTGAATGGTTTGCTCTTAAAATGTACATCTTTTAGCCTCTCTGTATTGATCACGTTTGAGGTACTCAATGAGAGTTATCATATCTTTTCTTTTTACCTGAGGAGCTGCCCCACTACAAGGACACCAATGCAACACAATCCTCTCCATGCTGGGAGCAGTGATAGTAGCTATTTGAACTAGATGGTACAGAGGGCTGAGTATTTCATTTGGTACATTTTTGATAAGAGCTTTTCAAATGCTATGACTTCTTTCATAAAATTTGACAGAAGAAGCATAAACTTTTGTGGCTTTTTAAAACAGTCTTGCATGGAATAAAGTAAGATTGCCAAGTTATCCATCCTTACTCCTTCCCCTGGAGCAGTGGTTCTTAACCTTGTTGGAGGTACTGATCCCCACCAATTTCATATGCGCATTCACTGAACCCTTCTTACGATTCTTACGCATTTACTGAACCCTTCTACTGCCAATACAGACGGACTGTCAGCACCATCTGGTGAGGGGAGTGGGCCGCCGCGCTGTCAATCACGCCACACGGCCAATCAGAGGGCCACTTTTGTCGGTGAAGGTGGGGCAAGCTGGTTTGATTGGATAGGGCATATAAATAGTGGGGCATAAAAAAAGTATACAGGTTATCACCTGCAGCCAATGATGGATGAGCGGGGCGTGTCATCATGAATCATATGAATCAGATATGTGTCTTGACTTCCACCAAACCCACGAGACTGACTCACTGAACCCCTGGTGTTCGATCGAAGCCAGGTTAAGAACCACTGCCCTGGAGTAAGGGGCTGGATTTATTTTGGGGATAGGGATCAGCACCTTGTGTAGCTCCATTAAACTTTAGAATTCAACAAAGAACAAATTCACTGTCCACTTGGATTTAGATTTCTTGGTTGAACTCTAAATTTTAGTGGAGCTAACCAAGGTGCTGATCATTATCCCCCAAATAAATCCAGCCCCTTGGATAAAGTTTAATGTTTGGACTAAAATTTGGATAAGATTCACCATTGTGCTGACATTGGAGGCACTAGTCTCTGGGTGAAGTGGTTTCCTTTCTCAATCTCTCTGCCTTCAAATTGGGTGAAAAATGTTCCCAAGTTGGCATTTCATCCAAGAAGCCATTTGTGAACTGCTCTGGAAACCTGCTCTGGAAACCATCATCCTGTTTGTCTTTTTTTTTTTTTTGAACAGGGTACAAGAAGCTGTTCTCCAGCCTCTTGTACCCCATTCTATTGTCCCTGGTAGCATCCAAGCCCCATAGTGCTACTGCTGAGGGGAAAGGGAGGGAGGGGAAAAGGCAACTGGATAGTGGAGTTGGTCTTTTGGTACCCTGAGTTGTAAAAGGTAAAGGAACAACGATATCATCATCATCATCATCATCATCATCATCATCATCATCATCATCATCATCATCATCTTCTCTCCCAACCTCCACCCTCATGGCCACTGAATGATTAGAGTAATGGTCCCATGGAGTTGTGCTGTTTCCTGGTATGGGGGGAGAGCATACATAGAACACTTAACACTCTGTGCCTTCCATCCAGGCTTTTGGCTCATAACCTTAAAGGCTCACTTAGGACAAGCCATTTAGCCTACTGATCATATACATTGGCTTATCAGGGGACCTTCGACATTAAATAGTAATAGCACTATGATTCCACTTTAATGCCCATGGCTCCATCTTATGGAATCCTGAGGCTTGTTGTTTAGTGGGAGACTTTTGGATTCTCAGCCAGAGAGCTCCTCTGGTAGTCCTGAGCAAACTATAAATTCCAGGATACCATAGGATGGAACTGTAGCAAAATGTCATAAGAAAGCTATAATTATGTAGTGTGGATGAGCCCTAAGTTTTCACTGGAGCTTCTGTTTTTAGTGTTTGCATGTTTATTTCTTAGGTGAACTATCCAGAATGTGACAACACATAACTAACAGCCTAGTGGCAGCCTAACTCAAGGACAGACAAGCAAAAGTCCCAGGCAGCATGGTTAATGGTTAGGGATGACATTTACCAAAACAGAAAAGCTCCAATTTTCCTTCCCCTGGTCATGTGATGTATAGAATATTTTCAAGTTTTCTCATCTTTGAGTAAACATCAGCAACAACCTCACAGTTTGTCGCCATTTATTCAAGAGCAAACAGACACACAGACACAGATACACACACATACACAAACGCATCCAAGTCAAAGTTTGCACAATTTGTTCAAGAAACCTGTTTGCAAAATTGTCACTTTTGCAATTTCTGAAGGAAAGCATGCACATGCAGCAAATATAGAGGGATAGAATTATTGATTTTAAAAATCATAAAGAACCCATCCAATACTCTTAGGATTTTTTTAAATGCAATGCAACAAGGCAGTGGCAAATACACTCATTCTCCATATTTGTGGCTTTGACTTTTGTGGATGTGATTATTCATGGATTTTATTAATATGTTCTCTCTAGGAATATCTAAGTCAGTGATGGGAAACCTTTTAGGTACCGAGTGCCCAAACTAAATGGTCTTCTGGCATTGGGTGTTCCCCTGTGCCAGAGACGGGACTTCTGGGGGAATCAAGACTTCTGGGGTAGGACTTCTTTCCCCCCTGCACCTACCTGGGCCTTTAGCTGCCTCTCCAGAGTGCACATCTTTTCCTCCTCTTCCCCACTCCATGTGCCAGAGAAAATGGCTTTGTGTGCCATCTCTGGCACATGTGCCATAGGTTCACCAACACAGATCTAGGTCCTCCAGCACAACTCTATGGTCAACTTTAACCAAAAGTCACATTGAAGGACCTAGAGATTCCTAGACAGAACACTCCACTAGGCATTTGTAGCTCCTCCAGCATGGTTCTATGGTCAATGTCTGGCAGATGTTGACCACAGAGTTGCACTGGAAAACCTAGAGATTCCTACAGAGGTGTTCTCACAGGTAAAAATATCATGTTTTTGTTATCTGCAGTATTTCCACCTTCACTGGGGTCCTGTGTCCCTAACCCCAGTGAATGTGGAGGGATGAGTGTAACAGTCTGTACCAAAAAAAGGGTGCATCTCACAATTTTTGAAAAACAAAAATAAACCCCAGTTCTGAAAAATGTGCAAAAAACCTGAAGCATATCACCCAGAGGGGAGGGGAAAAAACAGTTTGACTAGCCATGATTCACATCCCAACTGTGATTTTAACTATGAATAGACTATGAGCTGTCTCTAAATATATCTGCTGATCTAGATTTTGTTACTAGTAACTAGAGGATTTGCTTTGAAGACGGAAATGGCCTCTGCCCTAAGAATCATTAAATAATGACCTGCATGGCTAATGAACATCTGCTTGGCATCTCAAGAGGCCAAGGCTAACTTTGCAACATCAGCCAGGTGTGCCTGCGAATAATGTTCATTGAAACATCAGAGCTAAGGGGTCATTGTGTGGATTTGGCTAGTGTATTATTATGCTTTATCTATTTGCAGTCAAAATAATTCAACACAGCTGTTTACAAAGCACAAATTCTTTGTGAGAACTAGAGAAGTATCTCAATGATTATTAAGTTGCTTACAATAATCTTGGTAGGATGTCTTCTGTTGTTTTTTTGTTTTTGTTTGCAGTTTTGAAATATACTTTTTAAACTTGTTTAAAAGGAGCTATTTAGGCAGTATATGTAAACAGGTACTTGTTTAGTTTTTATATTTGGACTTTAAAATTGTAGTGATTAAAATCTTTTAAAATATGTGACAATTTTGGACACCCATTTTCAGCAGTGTTTATGAGGCAAATACTGTATTAAAGAGAAATATTGAAGACCTTTTAGTATAGAAAAGCAGGCAAGCATTATTTTATTACATATAGAGTGTTTCAGATATTCTGTTAACAATAACAGAAGACATAGGGCCTTTGCAGACTGGTAAAAATAGTTCAAATTGAGTCCACTTTAACTGTCCTGGCTCAGTGCTAGGGAATCATGGGAACTGTAGTTTTTTTGGGGACATTGAGCCTTCTCTGTCAGAGAGCTCTGGTGCCACAATAAAGTACAGTTTCCATGATTCCTTAGCACTGAGTCAGGGCAGTTAAAGTGGATTCAATTTGCACTATTTCTGTCAGTCTGCAAAGGCCCATAGTCTGCATCCAAACTACAGAAATAATCCAGTTTGACACCACTTTAACTGCCATGGCTTAATGTTATGGAATTCTGGGAACTGCAGTTTGTTGTGGCACCAGAGTGTTCTGACAAAGAAGGTTAAATGTCTCACAAAACTACAATTCCCAGAGTGTCTGGGCACTTAAAGTGGTGTAAAACTTATTTCTGTAGTGAGGATGTAGCCTAAGTAAACATCTACTTAAATTTATCAGTCACATAAACCAGTCACTCAGTTCCCCTTCTCATACAGTTCATTTGAAAAACTCTAGAATAATCTCATAGATTAATTAATGGGATCTTTTCTTAAACTATGTAAGGCTGTATTAGAAAATGCCATTTTTTTACTACTTGTGTGTGTATATGTCCCTTCGAGTTTCCCATGGACTTATGGCAACTCCATGAATTACTTTGTTCTTATGTATCTTCATGTTGCTTCCGTTTTATGGCAACACTAAGGTGGACCTATCACAGGGTTTTCTGGGCCTGAGAGTGTGTGATTTGCCTAAGATCATTCAGGGAGTTTCCATGGCCAAATGGGGAATCAAACCCTGATCTCCAGAATTGGAGTCCAGCACTCAAACCACTGCACCACACTGGCTGTTCATGAATTATTATTTTTTTTCATCCTCATGCATGTTTTAATGGATATAAAAATGTTTCATGGATTTTTCTGCTGATATTTTAAAATGTCACCCCCACCAATGGATCATTCAGATGAAAAGCAATAATGCAGTAATCTTGGAGGATGGAAAATGGAATGCTTTGTCCAATGCATTGCAGATGCTAAAGTCTTCCCTTACAATGAATAACAGTCTACTGGCCACACCATTTTAATTGTCATTCAGTGAGTTTTTTTCTTTCCAGATAAAGGATGAGTCTCTGAAGTATATAACTCTCCTTTACTCTTCTTTCTTCACCTGCCTATTTCTCTGAATGTTCTTGCTACAAAAGATGTGAACAAAATGAATTAGTAGCATGTGAGTAGGATACACTGCTTTTTAATATATATATGGTTGAAAATCAGCCTGTGGCGGCATCATTCCTGCACATATTTCATTAGTTGGAGTTCATGGTTAATTAATTGGAGTTCACTGTTAACAAAACTGGAAATACCACAACATTCCTAGCTACAGCGTTGTTATGGTAATGGAAGGAAAAGTGAATTTTCTCAGCATGACAACAGTGAAAAGAAAAGAGATTGTGCTAATTGGGCATCCAAACATTTCTGAAATTATTGTTTTTTTCAGATCTAAGTTGAAACTACTTATCTCATATTATGATGTTGTTTATGAAAGTTGAAAAAAATCTTGCATTTTTAATGGGACTTTTTGATTAATGTCACAGAAAAAAGACTCATTGTCAATTGCGTGTAGTTTTTAATGCTTGTTAGAAATACATTTCTATTGTTTTGATATTTTTCTTCCCAGCTCTACTTCCCTTCCCTTCATCTGCTGCAGTTGTCAACACTTTTTGTTTAATCCTATGATGACTGAATGGATTTGGATGGATGGTGGCATCACTATTTACCTCATTTCATGTTTTGTCCCTCCAAGTGAATGATGGAAAATATCTTTAATTTGGGTGTGTGTTTGTGAGAGGGGTGGAGTTGTTCAGTGTCAAAAATTGCTTCTTTCACTATTTTAGTATGTATGCATGTCAAGAAAATCCACTTATTTGTGATGCTGAGACTTTTTATGTGAATGCCAAACTGTCTCTTATTTTCAATGTCTGCATTTATTTTATTCCCTCTTACTTCTTCTCTTTTCCTTTCCTTTCAGTGTCCTCTATCAAAAATATGGTTGAGGAAGGCTAATCCCCTTAAAAGAAAACAGCTGTGAAACAAGGCTGTCAATTTTGGCAAGCTGAATTCTTTTAAACCAATTATCAACATAGAAGAACATTTAGCTAAGCTCTACATTTTAAATCAGTAAACATAAGTGTATTGCAGTTGATTATTTCCATTGGTTACTCAAAAACTTGAGTTTTGCCTGTAACATCAGTCCAAGAAACAGTTCAAAAAAGAACATGAAAGCAGCTATGGACCCAAACACTTTTGTTGTTGTTAACTGCTTTTGTTTTGGTCTTGACCCATGGCGACCCTGTGGATGCGTCATCTCCAGCCCCCCCCGTCCTTTCCTGCTCTGTCCAGCTCCCACAAACTCACATTTGTGGCCTCTTTAATAAAGCCCAACTATCTAGCACGTGACCTTCCTCTCTTTTTATTTCCCTCTACCTTTCCTAACATTATTTTTTTCCCAGTGATTCATGCCTTCTCATGCTATATCCAAAGAACAATAGTCTAAGTCTTGTCATCTTGGCTTCTAGGGCTATCTCTGGCTTGATCTGTTCTAGGACCCATTTGTTTGTCCTTTTAGCTGTCCATGGAATCCTCAGCACTCTTCTCCAGCACCATATCTCAAATGTGTTGATTTTCCTCCTATCTTCTTTCTTGACTGTCCAGCTCTCACATCCATACATGGTAATAGGGAATACAATGACTTGTATGATTCTGACTTTTGTGCTGAGTTGTATGCCTTTGCATTTTAGGATTTTTTCTAGTTCTTTCATAGCTTCCCTCCCCATTCTTAACCTGCTCCTGATTTCCTGGCTGCAATCCCCATTCTAATCAATGTTTGATATGAGAACTTGTTTACTATTTCTATTTCCTCATTGTCTAGTTTGAATGTGTTTCAGTTCTTTGTGGTCATTATTTTTGTTTTCTTCATGTTCAACAGTAAGCCTGCCTTTGCACTTTCTTCTTTGATCTTCCTTAGTAGTTGTTCTAGGTCTGTGAGGTTTTCTGCTAGTATTATGGTGTTATCAGCATATCTCAGATTGCTGATATTTCTTCCTCCTACACTACACATTTGCTAATATATCCTGGGAAGTATTTCAAAGGAGATTATTTCTTAATTTTAGTCCAATTCTCTTTGTAGGCTATTAGAACCTTATTATAACTTATTATAATATGCGGAAAACATATTTTGATCAATGGAAAATGAGAAGCAGACAAACAGGATCATATCAAAACCTTCTAAAGAAAGGATGGGTATTGTATGGTTCTCCATGTTGAACCTCTCAAAATTCTTCATCACTGGCTATGTTGACAAGGACCCAGTCTACATAGATCAGAATACTCTGGAGCAGCCAGAGTATTCAGAGTATCCTGAAGCTTGCTTTTCTAAATGTGTGGGACTTGTAGTGCTTCCACTAACAGTTACAATCTAGGGTACCTTTAATTAATATGAAGAATATTTAGCTTTGCTTTGTCAGAGAGGGTGTCATACAAGACCTTGTATCTATGCTTTAAACCTACCATTTACCTCTTCACTATTAGAGGGCCCTGTGAGGGGAAGCAGACTGGTGGCATGGAGCCACCCTGGAAAGGTGCGCTGCAGGACCGAGGCATCCCCACACCTTGATCCTGTGGCGCACCTTCCCCATCCCTGAAAGGAGCGCTAAAATAGCGCTCCTTTCACAAGTCAGTGAAAGTGCGCCACAAAAGCTTGCGGCGCACTTTCACTGATTTTTCTGCCACAGCGTGTCCGGACGCTGTGGCAGGAGGTTGCCCTTGGAGCACCGGCCGTGCGGAGGGCTGGCGGCTCCGAGGGCAACCTTGGGAGGAGAAAGGGGCGCCGAGCGTGCGGCTGCCCCTCCTCTTCCTTGCCTCCAGGACGGCTTTTTAAGCCGTCTGCTGAGGCCCTTTGTCAACCAGACCTGCCCAGCATCTACCCTAGCAAGAATGTAACTTAGGTAGAATAATTCTGAGATGGTATGGTTTCCCTAAATGTATAAGGGCTAGGGTCCCAAGTGTCTTCCTCTTTTAAATTTAATATCTTTGGTACTGTGTTTTCATGTGCCTATATGGTTTAGAATTCACACAGGAAGAGGCTTTATTGTAACAAATAAACATTGACTTTATTGAATAACAGTTAGCAAAAAGATAACTTAGATAGAATAGTTCCAAGGTGGTCTGGTCACATAAATATAACAGTTGCAGGCATTTCCCAGTTCCTTTTTACAATATACTTTCTTTCCCAGTCGGTAGCCTTCTCTCAACTCAATTCCTTTCAGTTCTCTTCAACTCCTCCTCAACTGCTCTGCACTGAACTGACTTCACAGTCATTCTTTTATATCTACTCCTTCCCAAGCAGCCCCTCTTTACAGTCAGCTCCAATCAGGATTGGCTGTCTGTCAGGAAGCCAAGTCTGCCCAGTGACTCCATCAAAGGTTAACACATGCAGGAACTAAGCACCAGCTATACTAGTAATAACTAATAGAGACTCCAGGTATGGGGAACTAAATGAACTTTTATTAGAGGAAATGTAAACAAATACATATGATGATAACCTATTCAAATAATCAGCATATAGTGCTAACTGAAAGAAAAAATAAAGGAGATAGTGGAGTTTTAGGGTTGGATGAAGTAAGAGCTACCTGTCTTGAAGAAAGTGGTCTATGGAAATGAGAGGGTAGGAAAGGGTGTTTAGGAATACACAAGAGATGAAAGGGGGGTTCTTGTCTTGGTCTTGTTTGATCTAGCAGAACTCATCTTTTGGCTTTCAGTTTCCATCAGAAATGCAGAGTAGGGTATGTATGTTGTAGCACTCTTCAAACAAGTTCCCCCATACCCACACCTTTCCAATTGTCTGGGTTAAGTGCCATTAACAATACCTATTCTGATGTTATGTAAGCTAATGCAACTGTAGGTTATACTGGTGCCTAATTAAACTATATCTGGATTAATAAATACATTAGGGGATGTTCAGATGCTTACAAACTGCCCAGCATTTCTCCACAAAGTTCTGGCACTTGTAATTCAATGTTAAGTCATCTCCTTCTGGCTGAACAGCTAAATGATGTCTAGAAATATGATTTTTATTAGGCCAATAAGGATTGAGGTAATGTATTGCCCTGCATTCATGAAAAGAACTACTTAAATGGCTCATTTTACTTATAGCTGGGTAACTGTGCAGCTCTCTAAATGTTGTCAGACTGTAACTCCCTGCATTCCTCACCACTGATTCTGCTGGCTTGGACTGTTGGGAGTTGCAATCCAATAATATCTAGAGGGCAACATTAGTCTCATCCAGATTATATAACTTGGCATCAGGTAGTGGAAGAGATAACAATGATATTTTATTTTGGAGTGGGAGGGAAGGCATAAAGAACTGAAATTAAAATATTTACACCCAGGTTTGTAGATATGCAAAGTGTGTTTTCTCTGATCCTTAAGGGTTATGAATATAGGGGTAGTGTGACCCTGCTGGTGCTACTGGACTTCTCAGCAGCCTTTGATACAATAGATCATAACATCCTCATG